TTTAGTCGGCAGGAGATTTAGTTTATGAAACTTTTTCTCTAGTTGTTGATTTACTGTTATAAAAGCAACATTTGAATGGAAACGAAAACGGCTACGGTGATTTCCTCGCACGCGATCAAATCTCGTACTCGTAGTCGTACTCGTAGTCAAATCTAAAGCTCCCTAATACTCCTGCCGGATCCCGGATAGTACGCGGTTTTGTCACTATCCGGCCGGATACTATATCCAGTCCACCCCTAAACATATCAGTTAAGAAAATACTAACAATAAAAAAATAGTTTAGTTCATTTGAAAGAACTCTTAAAATTCTATCAATCACTTAATTCAATCTTAAATTCTATTACTAATTGTTTATATCTTGCTTAGTTTTCAAAATATTTCGACTGAAAAAGTGACCGGCTGTTCGCCATCTTGGATTATTGAGGATATACATGTTACGTCAAACTGGATTGGGGTCACGCTCATTTTTTATCTTGAGAGTAAGCGATTTAATATTGGTCCAAAACTTTGTTACTGGTTGCTGTTTGAAATTTAGAAACGATTAAAAATATTTCAATTGCAAACAATGTTGGATTGTTACTTGGTCATTTTAGAGTAGTTTTATAATAGTTAATGAGGTCAAGAATTCGTCCAAAATGGCGGACAGCTCATTAATTTCGGTCTAAATATTTCGAGAACTAAGCAAGATATGACAAATCGGAATATAATTTAATATATAATTTTAAGAGTTCTTTTGAATGAGACAAATTAATTTTTTTTCCGACATCGGAGTCCTACAGAGTGAACTATGTAAAGTGTTTTAAATTGTTAGTAATGATGCAATTAAATAGTATACTCAAGTGATTTAATCAACAGTTTCAATTATATTTTATTAAAGGTGATGTAAAGTCCGTAATGTGAAACAAACGCTTTGTTTACATTTTGAACTCAGTGCTATAGTTGTAAAATATGATTAGATATTTATTATACTGAATTTTTAACACTTTTCTGGTTCGTTATGCTTGTAAATGAATACAGACTAGAGATTAAATTCAAGAAAGTTCGGAAGGTGCGGAATATTAACAACATTCCAAAGGTTGCTCCCCCACTGATGGAATGTTTTGATGCGCAGAATATATGCGCAGAACGGACTTTACCGCATCTTTAAATATTACAAAATAAATAACGGAACAACATAAAACGCTCACTGAGTTTCCAGCGATATACATACCCTTTTCTAGATATATACCTAATAATAATAAACGAACGAAAGACTGTATTCCTTCCACTCGTGAGCTCATTTACCATTGTCACATATGGTAAATGTCCAGGCCTTGTGACCCTGGATGGGCACTTAAAAGGAAAGAATACACACACACAAAGGTTTATTTATTCAACCATTACAAGAGAAGGATTGAACAACTGCGCATGAACGAACATTCATTTATTTCCTGAGTACGGGTCTTCGACCAATTTCATTGTTATAAATAACGGAAGTAACTGACATTGATCAAGTATGGGTCTCCCGTGGTATATGATTGCGTCAAACAGCTGCTATGATAATTCAGATCAGTTAAATTCATATTTTGACGGGCGATTATATTTAATTAATTAATAAAATGCGTAGTACGGTCAGAGGTTAGTCTTCGAAAACTGAAATGTGCGGAATGTAAAAGTTTTGTCAAGATATTCCAATTATAATTCTAAACTGACTTCTTGGTTTCCTGATCCAATAACTCGAAGAATTTCAATCAAATATCGACGTGAAGCCAACCCGTTTATAGTTCATTTTTAAATCTTATTTAGTCGAAATATAATGTGTTGATTTAGAACTATAGTAAAAGCCGGTTTTCAAGAAAAGCAAAGCAAAGCGAACTTGATGAATTTGCTTTAATTTGGAAGCTATGCGCAAATGTGTTGCAAATATTGTAATAGATTAGTGAGCGCGCAAAGATGTGCGCAAATGTAGAGCGAAACTGATTAAGTTGCAATTCAAAGTAAATATGCAATGGTTGCAAATTCCACAGCAAATTCCACAAATTTGCAACCTTTGAAAATTAAGTAGCTTACGAATCGAATTTTTCATTCCCTCACCCCTGCTACAGCCTTCCCTCGAAACATCGAAGTTTTGTTGACAGGTATATTTTTCTGGTAGTTGGTATTATTTGAAAATGCTCGCAGTTTCTATGAATAAACAAGATATGATTGACGTCTCGTCTCAATTTTTCCACCCACTGGACACTAAATATTGGATAAAATTCTCACCTTCGGAAACATAGCTTTGCTCTAACTTGAAAATTTGAATACGTATCACTGCACTGTAAAATAAAACATGTTATAATTTAAATAGAACTGATCCTTATGTAATTGGTTGCTACGGATTTAAAATAAATTCTGTCTACAAGACTGCGTTTGAAACCAAACACTACAAAACACTAGACTAGCTCGCGTCTGCTAGCTCGTATACCTAAAACTGCTTGTTCTTTTAAATTAAGAATGTAAAATTATTAACAGCGAGTTATCTCCGGTTTAATGTATTTTTCACTTAAACACGAATGAAAAGGTAAATGTTATTAACTTAATAGCTTTTCAAGCCTAAGTTGACTTCATGTCAATTCTTGTCCTGAGGCTAGGCCGCGCAAAACGCCAAAAGTCAAATCTATCGATTGAATTGTCAATATAACTGCTACATATTGAAATATGTGTCTTTTGTGTTTGTGTTTAATTTCCCTTCCTAATCTACAATATATTATCTAAAAAATATTACCTGTGAAAAAGTGATGACCTTTCTGTTCGATTGTGCACCAGAATCTGACGCAAGATTCGTTTTCATTCAGTAAAGGTGGACCATTACGGAAACGGAAATGTTCAGCTAGTTTCTAGACCCTTAACTAATGCGCATTCTCAAACGTTGAATGCGACAAAAAGACTTATGCAACCATCGCGTGTATTTGTACTTGTTCGAATATAATTTTTTTGCGTGGAAATGTATTTTATTTATTATACAATGAACTTTTAGAGGGGAGAATGAGTGCTATTTTGGCAGCAATTTGAGGGCTATTTTATCGCGTTTTGGTGATTTTAAATGATCATGTAACCCATAACAAATGTACTTAATCCAAGCCAGTCCAGAACTTTTAAAATGATAACAAGATATAAAATTTAAATTATAAGAAATGAATATATGTAATATAAATGCTTTGTTCCGGTCAGAAATTTTCCATGGTGGGGGGAGGGGGCGCATTTACGCCAGGTCGGGAGCGGCCCCACCTTTGCTACAATCATTTTCAAATATGTTGGAACATATGCCCCAACTATAGTCTATACCTATACTGGTTTTGAAGAAATTCGATTCCCGCCCCTTGCTCAGTTGGGACCATGGAATTTATGATAGCATTATTGAGAAATGAATAATTAAAACAATAACTCCCTTGGGAGCGGTTTTAGACGTCGTCCTCACTCTGTTTACAATAGCAAACTAATGATTTTTACGTCTTGTATACAACGCGCGAGAAGTGGTACTCGACTAACTGGCTTAGGAGAAGTCTTCCTAAATATAAACCTCCATCTTAACCTCGTAAAACTGTATTAACATTCGTACACGACAATTAGTTTTCCATAAAATTATTTATTTCAAGGATTTTGTTTTGCTACCGTCGTCGAGTTGCCGTCCTACATCTTGCTTTGATGTGCTAATGTCAAGATTGGGTAAACAAGAATGAATGGGGAGGGAGAGGAAGACAAAAATACTTGTAAAACAAATGAGTTGCATTTATCCAACGATGATCTAAAACCACAAGTGTTCCAACACCTTTTGAAAATGATTGTACGTCTATGTCCTATTCGATCAACTCAACAGCAAATTCATGTAATCGATGATTTATTACTACTCGGCATAGTTGATAGTTATATATACTTTCTAATTATATAAAATATGGAACAATTTTTAAAAATCTTCGTTGACTGAATCTTATAATTATACGTTCATGGTCAATGCAAAGATTTATATTTCCAAGTTATGACCATGCTGATATGTCAGTACCATGGTAGTGCTAGTTATACTGGACTAAATACAATCATGCATGCGTGAAGTACATTAATTAAGATAAAGAATTTCGTCAAATATAGCTTAAACTGTCTTGATTCTCCAGTTTATAAAATATTTAGTTGATGTTATAGAAACTGATAAAATGTGCGTGCCGATTTATAGTTAGTATTTGTTATTTCAAAAAATCATTCGAAATAAAGTGACTTGGGAATATTAAGTTAAAATTCAGTATTTCCTAATTTTTTTCTGCATTTGGAGGCAACGTGATCGTGCAACTTCTCTCGACACCAGGTTGTGATCAAGTTTTTCTGATCTTCATTCATGGTTATTTCGCCTCGGTTCGCGGTCTTAACACTCACCCGGATAAACCCAAATAAGTAATAAGTTGATTTCATTGCCTCGGCAAGCTCAACAGACCACTTGTACATCGCGAATACCAGATCTCTCTTCCCAGCTCTGGTTTTTACAATACAATCAAAGAGAAGTATTGTAAATATACCATTATCAAATCTCACGTCGTTGATACTTCCTTGTCTCCCGTATCCATTTCTCATTGCATCAAAAGTATAATCCTTCACTTCATCGGAGAATTTGTAGACCTTGGCTATGTTACATATAAACTCTTCAATTTCTTCAACTGGTACTCCATCAAAACTTTCACATGCAAAGCTCTCGACGGATTTCTTGAACGTCATTCTTTTGACAAAATTCCGGTGTTTACTCATTTTTTTCTTCGACTCGTCAGAAGATTCTAACCTGCATAGCAGGTCTTTAAGCATCCTTCTCACATCGGCAGAACCCATCGATGTACGCACTGTAAACAGAATTAGCAACACAGTAATTTCAGAAGAACCATTTTGGTCCCAAAAATTGCAGGACCATTTACACTTTGGAGCACTCCGGATTTTCGGAACACCAATAAAATCAAACGGAACAAGTCACATGACTGTTCCACAGCTGCCCGACCGTGTTCGGTTCGATTATATTAGTGTCTGAAAATTCGGTGTACTCTGAACAGCAAATGGAGCAGCTGAATGTCGCAGACATGCACCAAAACGAGGCTCTATGGCCAAATGACATAATTTCCAGAAAGGTGCATATGACCATATTGTGATCACTCAATTGAAGAGCTTAGCATATATTTTTAAGAATATTTAAGGAATTATTAAACTTTAAAAGCGACGCAATTGTAATGCAATAAACCATATTTTTGCTGACGCAGCGAGCAAGCCTGCGTCAACAGTTCTAATTTATGCATAAGGGGATAAGAGTGTTTGAATGGAAGATTTTACTTCCATGCATTTGCGGTCATATATATTCAACCTTTCTGACATTGCTGCGAAGTTGCGAACCTATATGTGCTACAAATTCGTGCTCGGGCTGACTCTTGCCCTTTTTATCATAGATTTTGACACGAAACTAGTTTTCAGTCAGATTTTGAAAGTGATCTATCCGATTCTACGCGAATAAGATATTTAAGCGTTTATTAGGTTATTATTTATCAATGACAGCCCATGGATCATGCGTGCTTTTGTTGCATTACAATGCAGGGCCTTTTTAACATACAAGCTGGGGGGGGGGGGGACATATGCCCCCAGTTTCCCCTACAATTAGAAGTAGGAAAAAATAGGATAAGGATAGTTTGAGCTAGTGGCGTCTTGCCATACTATAGTTAGATCCACATCTTTTGCGCACCATAAAGTTCAGGTTTGGGATGGGTTAGCTTGTGATTTAATATCATAACATATCATATGTCATTTGGGTCAAAGCTATAAGCATATATACGTACGCAAAACAGGGGTTTCCCCATATATTTACAGGAATGGCGTTTTGAGTTGAGGTTAGAAGATGGGTTAGGATAGTATTTCAACTGGGGTTGTTAATATGGGAAATTGCACCCAGTTTTAGGTTAGAATTCGCTGAATCTGAATTTAATAATAAGGCAGCTGCATTTACTACTGATATGTGTACCTATAATATCACGAATCGGAAAAGACAAATTATGAATAATTGGAAAAGACAAATTATATGACACATATCAAGCCTCTGCCTCACAATTACGTCATTATAAACTACAGAACATTTAGGAAATATCTACCATGCATTGCCTTTTTCAGTCAAAACCATCACTGTATTTCTGATAAGTTACAAATATTCCAAACATGTTTTCAAAAATGGAGGGATGCTCTGGAATCGTTCTTATAACAATGCGCTCTTTTAATATCTTGCATATCATTGTGTCGGAGACAACACTCTCTCAATCATTCGGTGTATACCTGCCCATGACAAGGAATTGATAAATCCTTAACATGACATATTCATTAGCCCATATTACAATCATTTACTAGATATTCAGTAATAAACAATAAATTCCCTTGTTCTAGTTGTTCAACGCGCCATCCCCCATGCAGACGTTTACTCTGTCAGTCTCTGCCTGTATGTATGAATACATACTACATACTACTATATGACTACACTAAAATTTCCAGACGAAAGGCCTTGCTCGAAACGTGGAAATTCTTTTCGTATTTTTCAGGTATAATTTGTACCATATACAAACGTTTGAAGTTTGTATGAATACTGAATACATATCATGTCTCGTTTCAATTTTCCACCCGCTAAATGTTTAATACTAAAATCCTCACCTTCTGAAATATGGCTTTGCTTTAAATTTGAATGCGTGACACTGCGCTGTAAAATAAATTTAAATAGAACCCATAAGTTGGTTGCCTCAGATTCACAATGAATGCAATGAACAGATCTGCGTGGTAAATCAAAATGTTGTTTATAAGACTGCGTTTGAAACCCAACACTCCAACAATAGATTAGACTACTTCGCCTAGCTCGTACTTAAAATCTGTACTTTCAAAAGATGACTGCAATGAAATTGCTAACCAGTAATTAGCTATTACGGTCATTGTATTTTACACATTTAAAAGCACATATGAAAAGGTACAAAATATGAATTTACCAATCTTTATAGTACGTTGGTTGCAATTGGTTGACGTCATGTCACTGATAGTACCGAGACAATGCTTGTTTGGTTGCGCGCTAGGCTGTGCAAAACACCAAATATCAAATTTACCATTAAATTATCAACACAATTGTTTGTTTTTCGACTGCTACATATTGAAACATGCACTCTCTTGTATTTGTGTTTAATTTCCCTTCCTAAATTACAATATATTATCTAGAAAATATTACCTGTGAAAATGTGATAACCTTGCTGTTGGATTGCGCACCAGAATCTGACACAAGAAAATAGTTTTCATTCAGTAAAGGTGGACCATTACGGAAACGGAAATGCTCAGCTAGTTTCCAGTCTCTTGATTAATGCGTTCTCAAAACACTTGGTCTCACGGAGCCAGACTGTCTCCAATTTAATACACCAATAAATACCAATACAATTATTCTACAAACTTATATCAAAGCAGTGCACACAGTTATATTCAGGGCGGTCAATGCGCAAAATACGCGATGTTTCCCTGGCGTGTTTTTTCGCATTGGGTATTTTCAGCATTGATTGCTTTCATATAACTGTATGCATGGTATGAGCCGAAGGCGAGAGGTTGCATATCTAATACAACACAGACGCTTCGGATTGATAGAGATGTAACCACCTTAAAATACAAAGAAAACTTCGACGTTTCAAGCGAAGGCCCTAAAGTCCTGACTGAAGGGCCTTCTTTCAAAACGTCGAAGTTCTCCTTGTATTTTTCAGATAGTTACATCCTTATTACTGTTTTAATTAAGAGTCTAAGAATTTAAAGATAATTTCCCCTCCGTTTTGCGCAGTTCTGCTCATAACAAAGGGAGACCCCCAGATATAAAACTTGCCCAAATTTTGCATCTTTCGAACTTTTTTGAATTGAAACGAAGAGTTCATACTCATTTACAAGCATAGCGAACCAGAAAAGTGTTAGCCTGCGAACAGGCTCTCTCTGAACTCTATTTGAAATTTGTGAGAGAGCCTGCAGGCCTAGCTAATAAAAACGCGTCTGTGCGTCGAAAAATATCGTTCTATAGCGATATTAGCGATAAAAAATGTATTTGACGAGTTGTATAGAAAACTAATTTTTGTTTGTTTTGTCCAAAGGTCGTAGGTTCGAATCCCACCGTGGCCGGGCATATTTTTCAAGCTCGCCCGGTGTGGATATGCACTCAGAGTAACATCGCAAACATATTATTCACCTGAGTACACAACACCAACACAGAAAAAATTCATATTACCAGAACACATTGGTATTGAAGGAACTAGACTGTTCCGAAATATCACTTACTCGGACCGTCCTGACCGCGTAGCTCAGTTGGAAGAGCATTGGGCAAGTATTCCAAAGGTCGTAGGTTCGAATCCCACCGTGGCAGGGCATATTTTTCAAGCTCGCCCGGTGTGGATATGCACTCAGAGTAACATCGCAAACATATTATTCACCTGAGTACACAACACCAACACAGAAAAAAAAGTCAAAAGCTCTTAGGCCTAGTTTATACGTCGAATTTCAGTCGAATTTAATTCGTCGAATTTAATGTGACAATTATGCGACGGAAATTCGACCGAAGTGTTTCGTGCAGTTTAGACGTCGAATTTTGGTCGGAAAATCAAATCATGCGGGTGTTGCAGGCTGTGAGATGGACAGATGAAGGCATATAAAATAAATATGGCGGCGTTCACCAAAGCAATTATCTTGAAACAAATCCTGAAATTAAAATTAGAAGAGAAAGGCGTTTGTACTTGGTAATTAAAAAGAAAAAGGAAGATTGTTCGGCTATGCTTGGCACTGCTTTCCAATTTGTATGAAGCGAAAATGCCAAGAATTCGTTCATGCCGTCGACAGTTGAAAAATCAGTACAGTGGAGTTATCAGCATGAGCTCCACCTTTGAATTTACTATATGAGTTTATTCTTAAACACGTCCGAATTTATCATTATGATAAATTCGCGGCAAATTTTGAATTTACCATAATAATAAATTCGCGGCACCTAACACTAACCCTAACCCCAACCCTAACCCCTAACCCTAACATTTTTAACTTTTTAAAGTGCAAATGACATGATTTTTTTTATTTTTTTAAATGAATGTACTCTTTAAGTTGTAGTGTAACTTATTTTTCAGTTTTTTGTTTTTATGGTTTGTTCCCGAGATATTTAAATTTGTTTGATATGAGTAAATGAGTGTGAATATGCCCGCTAATTTATGACGTCATGTTGGTTGCAAGCTCTTCATAATGGTTGAATATCACTGCAGTATCATCCAAGATGATAATTTCAAACTTCACTCACTGGTAAATGTGATGAAACACTGGAGAAAAACGTAAACTGATATCAACAGTTTTTAAAGTTAATACATTTAAAACCAGTGTAAGTTGAGCTTGCAACCAACATGACGTCATAAATTAGCGGACATATTCACACTCATTTACAAATTGAAATATCTCGGGAACCATCCATAAAACAAGAAACTGAAAAATAAGTTACACTACAACTTAAAAAGTTTTTTCATTTAAGAAAATAAGAAATTTCATGTCATATGCACTTTAAATTTTTTAAACTTTTTTAACTTTTAAAATTTTTTAAACTTTTTAAACTTTTTTAAAAATCTAACTTTTTAAACTTTTTTTGCTTTTTAAAACTCCCCTAAAACTTTTTTAAAACTTTTTTAAAAACTATTTTTTTAAAAAACTTGAAAAACTTGAAAAAACGAGTTGGTCAAACTATAGTCTGAAAAGCGTTTAAAGAATACTTTTCGCGTGTCACGACAAATCTTCTCAACCATTCTTCACAAGATTGGAAACCGGTTAGAGAAAAAATTAAAACAGAGCTGCCAGTTTTTTTTTTTTTCTTTTTTGCCAGTTTCTTTTTTTCTGTCAGTTATTTTTCCTCTTAAGAGTTCATAAAATTGTCATTGATGTTTATGAAGTAATCGGTTACACATTTGTATGTTCTTCCATTGAAGGAAGAACATACATTATGAAAGAGAAAATCATTGATCGGGAAGATGTTTCGGAGCAGTAATTGTTACAGTAAGCAACGCTTATACATTTGGAATCCATCCCTCAATTTCTTCGTCTGTTATAGCCATAGAACATGATGTACGGTTGCAAACGTACGTTTTACATGTAATACAACCGCCAAGATATTTAGTAGACTTTTCGCAATTAGAACACGGACATGTTTGTCCGCCATGTTGAAAATCACACTTCGTGGAGTCCACGAAGTGTGTTGACCATAGATATATCTATGGTGTTGACAGTGTTGTTATTGATTTTAGGGTACAGTTGTGGATAACAATCTAATTTAGATATTGTATTCATATTATTAAATGCGACGGAAATTCGACGTATAAATCAGTATCGCGTTTCGGTCGCATTACACAACTGATCATGTCGCAAAATTCGACAGCGTCGCATTTAATGCATCCCGTCGAATTTAATCAATTTATACGTCGAATTTTCGTCGGATATCATGACTTGACTGAAATTCGACGCATAATGCCACATGTACAAAAGAACTAGTTTCAATAATGGAACAATATCAATTAACTCAAACAATTAGTGCACCCACTCGTGAGACCACGACTTCATCCTCTTTGTTAGATGTTTGTCTCACTTCTACTCCAGAAAAGTTAATTACATCTAGGGTAGTGCCGATTACAATTAGTGACCATTATATGATCGTCATTGTTCGTAAAATAAATACTTACTGTAAACAAAAACGCCACAAGAAAGTTGAATTTCGAAATTTAAAAAATTTTAATGTCGATAATTTCCAAGCCGACCTGTATAGTCAGGATTGGGAATTATTAGATAACCAAGCATGCGTTGATAAGATGTGGGATATATGGAAAACACTCTTTATGACAGTGCTCGACAAACATGCTCCAAATAAAGAGAAAAGAGTGAAAGATAAACCCAGTGTCCCTTGGCTAACCACTACAATTAAAAAACAAATTAGAGAACGAGATCGTCTAAAACTTCTTGCAATAAAATACAAATCGGAAAATTACTGGGATGCTTATAAATCGTCTAGAAATCGCATAACAGATGCTTGGCGAGAAGCTAAAACAGCTTATTATAAAGTACAATTTGATAAAGTAAAACCATAGGCTGCCCAAAAGTGCGTGTTGTAATTTTTACCCTCGCGCGTGGCGCTCGGGCGTGCATCGAGTCTACTCAGTTTATTATTATGACATAATAATAAACTGAGTAGACTCGATGCACGCCCGAGCGCCACGCGCGAGGGTAAAAATTACAACACGCACTTTTGGGCAGCCTATGGTAAAACATGATCCAAAACAAGCTTGGAAAACTGTTAATAAAATCCTAAATCGAAAGCAAAAATGTCCAGATATAAACTCTGTCAAAACTCAGAATGGAGAGATAACCGATCCAAATGAGTTAGCGGAAAGCTTCAATGATTATTTTACTAATACTGGCCCAGATATTGCAAAAACGATCGATAAAGGTGACAGAAATTTCACGGATTACATAACTAGAGTAACTAGCAATTTTAAGTTCCAAGCTGTATCTGAATCGAAAGTTCATAGACTTCTTTTGTCTCTAAATCCCGGTAAATCTACCGGTATTGACAAAATTCCAGCTAAAATTATTCGTATTGCTTCCCCCAGTAATTGCAAATTCCTTGGCAAAAATTTTTAATAGGGCAATCACCAGTGACTCCGTTCCATCTGAATGGAAAGCAGCGAGAGTTACACCTTTACATAAAAAGGCCCTCGAAACCTGTTAAATAATTATCGCCCTATATCCATTCTTCCTGTTGTAAGTAAAGTTTTCGAAAAAGTATTATACGAACAGTTACACGATTATCTTGTTACAAATAACTTACTATCCCAACATCAATTCGGTTTTAGACGTAGTCACTCAACAGCATCCGCCCTTTTAGATAACACAAATGAATGGTTTGTTAATATGGATCGTGGCTTTTTTAATATTGCAGTCTTTCTCGACTTGCAAAAGGCATTCGACACTATTAACCACGTTGTATTATTGAAAAAACTTGATTTTTATGGTTTAGAAACATCAGCTTTAAACCTCCTAAAATCGTATCTAGAAAACAGAACTCAAATGTGCTCTGTTAATGGCACACTTTCTCGTAAAAAATTAATTACATGTGGAGTCCCTCAAGGCTCAATTCTTGGGCCGCTCCTATTTTTGGTTTATATTAATGATTTGCCAAACAGTTTGGAGTATTCGTCAACAAGAATGTTTGCCGATGATACGACATTAACTGCA